TTATTTTTCTCATCACATGACGTAAAGAAAAGTTGTACACAATGATGATACAGAAGTTTGTCTCTTGCATATTTGAAGACAGTCATAAGAATTTTTTAAATAGTTTTGGATTCAAGTGATTTTTCAAATGCAGCAACTAAATGATCATAAGAATCTTTCAAATGCATATTTCAATAAAATAAAATAAAAAAACTCAAATAATAATAAAACGTGTTCGAATAGTGTAGTGTCAATCGGGCATACAATAATTTCTCTAATTTATCTCAACATTAGAATGCATGAGCAGATCATGTAGACGTGGGCGGTTGAGATTGTATGTGGGCACTTAAGAATGTCTGCACATTCAGACTAGTGTAGAATTGCCCAAGTATGAAATTTAAAGTGTGGTGCAAATCTTAGGCGGTCCCAATTAATGTGATTCATGGGCTCTGGTCGTCAGCAATGGAATTGAAAGTGGTGCTGCCAAATTGTCCTTCTTTTGGGAAACACTTGAGTGTGGTTGTTGACGTTGCCCTTTTGTTTTGCCACCTCTCTCTGGGACTATTTTGATAAAATTGAAAATATGCAGACAATATAAAAGCATTGGTATTGAGTAGTGTGACAATGTAAAAGATATGTCGAAATTACCATATAAGATCACTAGAAAATACTAGTGTGGCATTTGGTCTCTGTTAAAAATTATCGTCAGTTCAAATTTCACGAACGATAGATGAGTTTTAAAATTAGTATTCTTATGTTGCATACAATATTAAGTAATCATACCGACTAACATGCATCTCCTCTACTTTAGCTAGATGTATATAACTTCCATGATCACTCTAGCTCGCTCGGATCATGTAACCGTGGAAGTAACGTTTTGTGCAACATGATGACTTGAATTGCCACATGCAGGGAGGGTAGCAGCTGGGCTTGGGTCGATCCATCTTTCAATGATTTGATGATGACTTAACTTACTTGGCATATGCATAACCACATTTTAGTTTCATACATACTTTGAGTACACCCCAAAATAGGTACACTCTTACAAATGTTCTTTTCTTTTTATATATAGCCCTGGTCCCCAGAGATAAAACACTAGCTTGCCCTCTGGTAACATGAATGCATGCATGTGCATGCATATATCTATGAATTCGTTGATATAGCATATGCATGCAGTATGCACATCTAGTAATCATGCATGTATGCGACGTGTCTAACATAAGAATTTAATCCATGATGATTAAGAACTGCTGATACAAAAGGAGACGTGGCACCCTCTCCACCTGGGGAATGGAGGATAGCTTTACACATACCATATACGAATGATCGTACGTAATGTTATTAATTCACGTATTAAAATTCATGTGTGATGAAATTAAAGTATAACATTAATACATAAGTACACATTTCACCATCCATTCTACCTCACCAATAGAAACCAATGAATTCGTCATTTGCCTGCCTGGATACCTTTTTCTCGATTGCGATTGTGGTGGCCGGTTTGCTCGACTCAATCTTTTGGTTTACATTTGTCCCCTCCCACCCAACCATCTGATTACCTCGTACAATACTGTTACTCCATCACTTGATTATCTTTTGCTGTTGTTGATAATAGTGATAATAATAATTATTATTATTATTTAATCATATAGATTAGGTTTAATTTTCTCATCATATAATTGATTTGATGATTGCTTTTAGATGTGATGACAAAGTAGCTAAATATTTTGAAGAATAATTATGGGCTAGTTAGTTAAGAATGATGGCTAAGTTAGTTTTGTGTCGTTGTTTGTGATAGTTGATTCAGAATTTAGAGATTAATATCAGATTAAATTTCCTAACCCCACAAGGGATTAGGGGAGGTAGCTTTGCCAACCCACCTATCACCTCCTTCACGATCTTCACCATCACCATCCATCAGCCCCACTGCTAGAGTTTTTTTTTATAAGTTTTTTTATGACAGTTGATGATGATTAGCTCCTTCTGCCGACCTTTCTAATTGATTTGTAACTAATTTATCCATCAACGTGCGTGTTAGGACAATAATAAAGGAAGAAATGTCATAAGAATGCTAGTCCACAAGATTAATGTTGGCTGAGCGGATCTGAGATGCGATTTTGGATTTATTTAACTTTAATTTGGTGGTGTTTAGTCATTGAAAGCAACTCCAATAGCTCGATTAAGGAGAAATTCCTTTAATCAAACCGTCAAAATTTCTTGATCTATGCTAAGAGAGAGAAAGCAAGTGGCTTAAAAGTAGAACAAATGTTAATTATCAAAACACCCTTAACATTTAAATTAATTATCTTAATCATTTCACGAAATCACGGCAACGATTGCTATTTACGGCGATATTTGCAATGTGAGAGAAAATAAGAAATGATTTACAAACGACTAAAAGAGAAATGGAGAGAAAAGAGAAATACAACGGTCTCCAGAGAAGCGAAAGAAGATGAAATTTGATGTTGAGAGAAGAGTATGATAAGGTTAAAACCCATTTAATAGCATCAATACACGTAGAAACAAATAGCCGGTTTGATTCGGTTTAACACTAATTAATTTTAAAACAAACAAAAAAGGGAACAAAATTGAGCTAATCGGTCTAATTAACCAACTTCTTCGATTTACAGTTTGAAATGCCAAACCCTAGTTTCTTTATCTGCTCCTATGCAGTCATGTCTCACCCAACATACAAAAAAACCAAACAAAATCAAGCTAATGGGTCTAATTTGGCCAACTTCCTCGATCTATAATTTGAAATTACCAAACCCTAGTTTCTTGATCCGCATCCATGCATTCATGTCTTACCCAACATAGGGAAAAGAGTATGTGAGGTGTGGTGGAGAAGATATTTTCCACACACACACCCCAACCCCCAAAACAACCCCAAAAAAAAAAAAAAAAAAAAAAAAAAACTTTAATTTCTGAAAAGAGGATAAGTAAGAATAAATGGGTATTTTAAAAATATAAAAGTACATGAAAAAAGAAAACATTAAGTGACAAAAGAATCCCCATAAAAAATTACATTTTCTTCTGAAAAGGGCAAACAGGCACCAGTAATTGGAGGCTGAAACCGGTACTCGCATGCCAATAAATAAATTCGAAATAAAAGCAGACCAAAAGTGAAATCCGGGCCCACTTTGTGCTTATCAGCGACTTGGGGTGAGGTACAATTTTATAATATCGCACATGAGTTGCACATTGAAACCGATCTCTGGCCGTTGGATTGATCTGCTTACGCTCTCTCTTTGCTAGCTTTCAGTCCTTGTTGGACCGTCATGATCACGGTACTGTTTCGTATATTTATACCCCTCGAAGCACTGTAGCAAATCGCAGGTTTACTTTATTTTTAGTGGTGTGGGCTTTGTCTAAAGCTAGCAAAAGCAGCACTGTACGTGGAATTCTTTATATTCCTAATCTATCCAGTACAAATATGTTATTGACGGCCATATCCCCTACCTTTATAAGTTGACTAAACTATTAATTTACCCCAGAAAATGTTGACCATACTATTTACTTTTTACCCTTTTACCACACTGCAATGCTTGGAACTTGCAACCGTGATTCTCCAAAAGCGCGTGAAGTTGCTCCCCACTTGTTTTTCCCGACTTTCACATTTTGGATTTACTGTACAATGTGAGAAGGTCAAGGATTTGGTGTAACTTTTAGAAATATCTAGAAATTAATGCACACTTCGGTAAAATAATTTGGTAATATAAGCCAAATTTGTTTAAAGAGGATAAAATGATACGGCCGATAATATTAGAGGAGGGGGAATTGAACTTAAAACTTTGATTATAAGGGTAAATGTTTTTAACTACTTGAGCTGCAAGCTTCTTGTAGATATGATAAAATAATAAAACAACATAATATTATGCATTACGTGTATGTTAATTTCTCACTCACTAATCTTATCAGTATTTAAAGATGTTACAAATTCGAATTCCTCATCTCTGTTAGTAAAAACATTAAGTTGTTTTGCAACTTGCAAATATATTATTCTATTAGAAATCCAACTTTGGAGGTAGGCAAAGGTAAGCATTGACGTTTAGTTTGATGGCATGAAGCTTTATTGGTTGGTACTTAGAATAATTCATCAATCTAAAATTTGATGAGGTGGGACGGGTCTACACTGGCTCGCATAACTAGTGAACGAATTGTCTTATTATACACTATAAAATATATATAATCTTAGAATGTAAGCATCTAAATGTGTCAATATGATTTAAACCGTTTTCCTATAAGAAACAATATAACACATTGACTCGCAAATATCTACATCTGAATATTTAGTGTCGAGGTATAATTAAAACGACGTATTACATATTCTTTATTCATAATAAATCTATTTAAAGTGGAATATCTTGTTCGTAATAAAATTTAAATTTAATTATTACCTAAAATTCCCAATGAGTTCCCATCGTGCATTTGAGTATTGATGAAGGAATGCTTCATGCGCCTATATTCAAGGCAGCCAACAAGTTGTTCTTACCTCATTTGTTTCAATATAAAAAATGTAGACAGCAACCACATCAAGATGTAAAGTGCAAGTAATTAATATCAATAGAAAAATAGTGACACTGTCTATATATAAAAAGTTGTTACTAGTGTACGATGAAATCTGAAATGTGGGCAAAAATTTCATACACATACAAATATATAAATCCAAGTGCGTATATCACACTCAATTAAAGAGGAGCGTAGTGATAGCTATTGGGATGGAACATGCCATTAAATTTTTTTAAATTTTTTTTTTTTATGATATGGACATTGAAATGCAAAAGAGAAATGATAGGTAGGGAAGAAGGCAAAGCTCAGCCCGGGGCAGAAGTGTCATTTTCCCACCTCTTTTTTAAGGTTCACCATTCTTCTCACCTCTGCCCTAACTGAAAACGACTGCAAGCAACCTGTGGTCTACCTGTGTATATATATCCTCCAATATATGTATTTATATTTATAATTATTAATTATTTCATGTATAAACATCGAATTTACACACCGATTTAAAATCATTAGTTCTCATCTCTTCTCTTTATATTTAAGTCTCTCTCTCTTTCTCTCTTTCTCTTTCTCTCCTTTTAGTCTCTCTGTATATCTTTTCTCTCTGCTTGGGTTTGGTTTTTTGGGTTCTTGGGTTTGTTCCTGATACAGAGAAAATATTCTGTGTGTTAATTAAAGGGTTCGTAGCTCTTGAATTGCTTCAAGAAAAATCAGCCATGGTGGATCTTCAAACTGTCTGCTGCATGTGTGGTGACGTGGGTTTTCCTGACAAGCTCTTCCGCTGCAACAAATGCCGCAACCGCTTTCAACACTCGTATGGATTTTCACCATCATCACCATAATCATCATCATCATATACATGCCATGCATCATACATATATATATATGGATATATAATATATGCTAGCTAGCTTGTGTATAGATATGTATGTATGTGTGAGTCAGTGGGTGTGTATAAATAGAAATCATGATGTTTTATATCATCACCATCATCATCATGATCATCATGATTCATGTGTGATAGCTACTGGTAACTGAATAGGTAGAAACCCATCTCCATAAAACACCCACCCAACCAACCTATATTATTATTGGTACCATACCATGCACATATATGATGCTCATCATATATAGTACCATAGCAAAACCATCCTATGTCATCATCAACATTTATATGTATATAAACATGTTTATAATGTCATAATCTAATTAATGCTGATACTAAAAATAAATAAATCATTTACTAATTAAGCATGATACCCATGTGAAATTGTGTTACACTTTTTTTTTTTTGGCGCCTGATTAATTGTGCCTATTATTTACTTTGTGAAACCATTCGCAATCAAATCTCATGAACGACAGTTTGTTTGTTGAATAAATCAAAGAAACAAAACTTAATATATATGTATTCAAATATATGCAGGTATTGTAGTAACTTTTATAGCGAGTACGCGGAGCCAATTGAACTGTGCGATTGGTGCCGAAGTGATCAAGAGAGAAGCACCGCGAGGCACGGTGGCTCTTCCAAGAAATCGAGCATGGTGGGAGGAGTTGAGACCGGAGGCGCTTCGAGCCGGTCCGAATATTCCGGTGACCACAAGATCAAGCAACACGATCATCAACAGCACCGTGATCATCAAGACGGTGGCGGCAGCGGCAGCGGGGAGAAGGCTAGTAAGAACAGCGGCGTGCCGTCACCAAGACCCACTGCACGAAGGTACAAGCTTCTCAAGGATGTAATGTGTTAAGACAGCTTAAGATTGTGTGTGTGTGAGTGTGATATCAAAACAGCTAGCCATGATGATCAGCAGCCTCGTCAAACTAAAAGGGTTTAAGTGTTTATAGAAGTAGATTATGTTAATTATATATATAACTTGTTTTCCATATGGGGGGTCTAGTGTTTTGTTTTCTTAATTTGTGGTGTGGTTTTTCAGTAATTAAGTTATAAATAAAATAACGTAAGCTTTGTTGGGATCAATGAATGTCATGAGCTAATTAATTTACAAATCAAGAAGCTTTTCCTGCATGAAGTACAAAAAAAAGCTTAATGTCATGTGATAATTAATCAATTAAGGTAGGATTGTTGATGCTAATTAAAATAATACAGATTTGTGATTCTTCTTATCAATTTGATTACCCAAATGTACAAAAAAAAAGGTCGTAGACGACGGATTTTTACGTAGGGAAGAAGTATTTGATTTGTACGTACAAGGAGAGTAGAGTATTTGATTTGTAAAAGTGTAGGGTTTGTCTCTGGCACAGCAGGGGGTTCTTGGGGGAGTTGGAAAGAAACAACTTACTTGCACCCTCCTCTTTGCTTGGTTAAGACTGTGCTGATGAGTGAGGAATTGAATGCCTTCTCACCAAAGAATTCATAGTACCTAAAGCTGCTAACTTTGACAGATTCATTGAAGGACGGCCTTTAATAGATAGCTAGGCCCTCTCCATTATTGTCACCAATATGAAAAGAGTCATGCTAGAGATACCAACTTTAGATACCAACTTGTGTATCATCTCTCTAATAGAAGTAGAGCCTACTAATACAATAGGTCTCACGCTCTATTAGAGAGATAGTACACAAGTTGGTATCTAAAGTTGGTATCTCTAACATTTTCTATATAAAAAACTAAGGAAGAAATATATATATATATATATATGTTTTCTCCCAAGATTTTTCTTTATTTTGTTGTTTTTGTTTGTGAGGGAGTGCTTGGAATTTGAGGGTTGGAGATGTGAAATTTGAGTGGATGTTGTTGCTTCCTAGGCCATTCATTTAAATCATGAATTCTTAATCATTTTTTCTTCTGCTTACACATGCTCGTTTCTGAAATATCTCCAAAGTACACAAGCTGATAAGGTCTCTTCCACTGTACGTGTTTTGGCCATTTATGAGAAAGCAACAAAACTCCTCCTCATTGGGGGTCTCTTGAATTGACAATGAAGCCATCCTTTTTCTGCCATATCCAATTCTATTTCCTTCTTATTTCTTATTATTATTTCTTATTATTTTTATTCTCTCTGGTTGATTGGACTTACAAACACTCAATAAATTACACACAAATCATACCAAAAAGTCATCAGAGCTTTCCCAAAATATCAGTCAACAAATAGTCCGAATATATTATTTAACAGAATAGACTAGAAATGAAATAAAGAAAATAGTGTCGCATCATCTAAGAATTCTTTTTTTTTTTTTTTTTTTTTTTGGTTTTTTGGTGGAACATCATCTAAGAACTCAAACTTACATATTTTGATTTGAATTCTGTACAATTACTTTAAATTATTTGTTCGTAAGAGACATTCATCGCCCTGTTTGAGAGTGCTTTTGAAACAGCTAAAAATATTTCTAACAACATTTGACAGAAAAACTTAGAAGTGCTTCAAAGTCATAAACGTGCTTTCTAGAGAAGCACATAATGTGCTTCTTCAGAAAGCACTTCAAGATGCTTTTCCATGAAGCACTTGAATTTTTTATATGAAAATTTCAACATTTTTATAATAAAAGCACTTTTACTAGAAGCGATTATAAACAAAAGTGCTTCTTAAAAAAAATTCCCAAACGAGCCCAACTCTATCATATTACTCTCTCTCTCTCTCTCTCTCTCCAAACAACATCAATTGGAATTTAAAAGTTTAATATTTTGTTTTGATGTCTATACAATTACTCAATAGAAAATGAAGTCCTGGAAACATGGCTTTAGCCAAGTTGGTTAGAGAGAATGTGCTCCATATTCTGCATATGAATTCGACTCCCCCTCCCTATAGTTTAGATTAAATTAAAGTATCGTTTGTATAATAAAAAAATGAAGAAGGAAACTAACTAAAAATAATACATGATTTACCAAAGAGACGTTTCCTCCATTGGTCCACACTTTCCTTTGTTTCCAAACTGTCATTAAGATGGGTCACATGGTTTGCTTCGCCTTCATACCCTCAACCTCCTCTTATCCCACTTACAAGCAAAGCTGCATCAGTAAGTTGTATTTGCAGTTTCTAGCAACAAAGCACATGAAAGTAGTGCTATTTTCGTTCGTTCCAGTACAACCCCAATCCTTCGTTCTATTTGATTCCCTTACTTATTTTGAGCTGCACCGAATTAGTAACAAAGAATGATTAGTAGAAAGCATATATGCTTATCGATCTTCAATGTATATCTTCTTTCATAAAAGATCGTCACTAATTTGTTTCTCTTAATGGGAACGGATTCTCTATGGTTATCTTGAATTTCCTTGATTTTCAATCTAGTTGTTACAAATTCAATGGATTTAGCAATCTTACGTAGCTCGACAAGAACTAATTTGATCAGTGGTCTGTATTCACAGTTTGATAAAATAACATTTTTCTATGTGTTAGAAATTTGATGTCTATTTGAGCTAAAATTTGATGGTTTGATATTCAAATTTTAAGAAAGCACTTCTTATTTTATTATTAATCAAAGTTATCGATGATATGAAATCATATATATCCAAATATACACTCGTGATTAAAAAGTATTATTGCAAATAACATATTAGAGTTCTTGGCCACAAAATAATACTAATCTTGGATAATTTTATTTTTTTGTTCTCTCTTGGTGATGTTAATATATGATGGTTTGCGTGATGATTTGGGGCAATTAACATGTCAAAATTCTAATTTCTAAGCATGTGGGCATTTCCTCTACGCTAACATCCAGAGAAAATTAATTGGGTGTCATCTTCTTGATCACAAAACCAAGAATATCTTCATTCACGTACGTATATATAACTTCATCACAAAACCAAGAATATCTTCATTCACGTACGTATATATATTTTTTTACAAGAATTTCAAATCCACAAAACAAAACAGTGTCGTCTAATTAACGATAGTTGACCTCTTCAATTAGACAAAAACAAATCTTAATTTGTGGTCTGAAATAATGGATTTTGTAATCAAAGTCTTGGAACACATGGAGTTGCTTTATATCAGCCACTTAGGTTTCATTAATTAACATCGAAATGTCAACTCTCTCTCCACTGGAAATCTTTTCGCGTTTTTAAGTAGTACTTCTCGATGTTGTGATGATGAGGGAAAGTGATCACCACCATCAGAAATGTCCTCTTATGTGTAAAGCAAGTCAAATTAAAGATGTATTGTTATTGTCACGTAAAGAATTTGTAGCTTAAATGATTAAGAGAAGTTATTCTTGCATTCGAGATTTTCTGTCTTAATTCACCTCTGTAAACCAATGTCATTTTTTATTGAGCTAGACCACATCGGCATGTAAAGACTCTTTTAAGCAATTATTTAGTATATCTCTCACCGCCATTATTATAGGTAAACATATAAACATTTACTTGGGTTGTGAGAGATGATCTCAAGTTCACAAACCACATTTTTTATATCATAAAACATGTTGGTCAATTTCACTTGGATTTGTGAAATATATAATATATGACTCTGGCAGGGACACAAATGATTATCACGATGATATAAGGGTTATTAAATATAAGGTACACTAGACAAGATCTTGATAATGGGTTCTTTAGTATAAAGATGTCCACTAGTCAAGCACTTAAGCATTAATTTTTCTTGATTTTATCAGAGTGCATGCGCATGCTACCTAAAGAAAATTCTAAACATGGATTATTTTTTTTCCTATTCTTTTTTAATGCAAATAGACGAAATTGTGACGAAACATTTACTAGGATTCAGAATTAGTAAGTCCAGTGGAAAAGAGTCTTGATTTGTAGGTCAGTGGTCTCATATTCGAACTCCCATGACACATTGATAATGTGTGTGAAAAAAACCTCGATATCCTTGAAGTTTAGACTATCGCTGATATTATATAAAAAATAAAAATTTAAAATTCATGAGCAATAAAGATTTCTTTTTTAATTTTTCTAAATAAATAAAAAATCCTCATGAGGAATATTCAAGATTGTTTGCAAACAAACCAAGCCGCACGTCTGAGATAATATATTCTTTTTACACAAGCGATATTAAAAAAGGAGAAATTAAAACGAAAGACCTCATGTATAAGCAATACCTTTAATCATTAGAGCTACAAACTTCTTTGTCTGTGGGGGATAACTAAAAATTGAAATATGCTTGTAGGTCAAGATATCAATTTTATAAACAGGCACACGCTCACTGACTTTTGAGATGAAAGTTGCTTTCCATCTGAGAAAATGAGAGAGAGAAAAGGGAGCGAAATGAGTTGCCAATGGCCAATGCCATCGACCTCCCAACCACCCACCAATACATTTTTCGTTTTTCTTTCTTGTATCCAATCTATAGATATTATTTTACTCCGCCAGCCTCCACATCTTCCTGCTAGATCTTCTTCTTGTTTGTTTGTTTGTTTTTCTTTAATGACAAATGAAATTCTCTTTACAGATTCATTTTTCTTCAACACTTGCATCATGGTATATGTATACACACACACATATTTATATATATAATATGTTTTAATCAATGCTGTCGTCTATAGTCCAATGGGTCCAAACAAATTAATCACATCATTGGCCACCATGTTTTCCTTTATATTGGTTTAAAGAATACCTTTTGATTAAGACTCCGATTTGACTTTATGGCTTGATTTCCCACGTAGGAAAACGATAGAGATCTGGTTGGTGCGCCCAATAATAATGACTAATCACAACTTATATTAAAGTTTTTTTCCATCTACATATTTAGCATCTCGTATACATTGGTTTAAGGTAGCATATGGGTGTGGCACCACAATGTAAAAGTGGGTCAAACTCTCACTTTTCCTTCAAGTGTGCATCCGGGTTCGATTTACGTAAGAGACAATCTTGAGGCAACCCAATATAATACTTCCCCTTCCCCTCCCTAGCAAATGACAAAAAAATACATTAGTTTAAGGTATATTTTAGAGATCAGGTCCAACTGGAGCCCAACTTGATCCAAATTTGATGTCATATAGTGCTGGCCCAAGTTTGCCTATATGGGCTAGGTTGGAGCTCAGCCAAGCTATACCTAGTTTATCTCGAGAATTTTATAGGAACTACCATATTGAAACTTAAATATGGAAGCTCAAATGTGACATTAGTGAACTTCAAAACCTTCTAAAAAGAAAAAGAACAAACCTTTATGCTAATGCAAAAGAGGACCATTACTCTCTCTGATCTGATCTGATCTGGCCCCCCCAAAAAAAAAAAACTGAAAAAAATGAAGGAAAAAAAAAAGAAAAAAAAAAAAAAACAAAGTTGTGATGCTAATCAATTACATATGCACAAACAGATTATGATCAAAGCCAGGATGAAATTGGCCCATTTTGATTGTCTAGAAGTTCTGAAATCAACGGCCAAATTTGTCGAAATGTATGACTCCGATAAATCTCCAACCGTATAATTTGGATTAGATCCGTACAGAGCTTGCACTCCTTCAATATCATCACGCTGCAAATCAACCTTTCTATCCCTAGGCTTTAAATTCGGGTACATAATAGCCTCTTTCACCAAACTATGGCCTAACCCTAGCAAATGACCAATCTCATGCGTGGCCACCGACTCCAAGTCCACGGCCACCGGGGACTTCTCCGTCCCAAAGTCCACCGCCCACGTCTCCGCTGCGTCGAGGTGGAGCCGCCCGCTCTCCGGTGAAAACGAGTGGGCTAAAATCCCAAGCACCCCATCGAACGGCTCTCCGTCCCCATGATCACCACTATAAAACCCTATTCTGATGTCTGCGAAGCCATAGTCCTCGGCCTCGGCGAAGCTCACCGGAATCACGGATGCCCATCTGGCAAAAGCCCGTTTGAACACCTGTCGTATATCGGACAAGCTCAAGGAGTTGATCATGTTGTCAGGAGAGAAAGCGTAGGTGAGTGTCATGGGCATCATGGGACGCACCCACCTAGGTTTTCCTGTAAAGTAGACGTAACGTTGTGTGCCATGCAACGTGAAGTGATGATTTGTATGCTCTGATGATAAGATTCCGGTGTCGGGGCTGGCTCTCAGAGCATGGACGTTGAGGAAGAAGAAGAAGAAGAAAAGGGAGAGGGAGAGGGAATAACTGAATAACAGAGACATGGCAGGTAGAGCCGTTAAAGGGGCTTCGAGGTTAGGGAAGGAAGCTTTAATATAGAAGGACAGATGGAAGATAAGATAGCAGACATCTTATGATAGGGAAATTATAATGGTGTGTTGTGTTTAAGGATGTGGGGTTACTACAAATGAAACATTTTTATCATGATGTGCGAAACATTTCTATTATATATGAGTCAATGACATAATTGTGATGATCATGTGAATATGTGATCCTACTATAAAATGAAGTTTCAAATCTTGTGTTTAAAGGTTTCAAGGAGTGAATTCACCAATATTAAATGTTCCTTATGATCATTTGTCTTAAAAATTTATTTTTGACAAATTTTCTTTTTCGTATTTTCAATAGAGACGACAGAGTTATATGTTCTGATAACATTACTAATCGCATCTCTCATAAGTTTGGAAACCCATTTATAAGACCTGTAATTAACATTTCTTGACAAATAGTTAAAATCGGGTGGAAACCCACTTAGAAGTTAGGGAAATCATTAGCTTTCAAATCCAAGTTTGGTGCATGTATGGTAAGGATAAAAAGGTAGCTAGCTAACTCAAACGTCTGAAATTTGCACTCGTGGTCGTTAGGATTGTGATAATTTTTTTAGGCGTGTGGATGACTCAATCAGTCAAACTCTGAGAAAGCATTTGATTTGAAACAGTTTCATACTTTCTTGTTTGGAAAGTCACAAACAACAACCGTGTTAGGCCACGACACAACCAGAGTGTTGCTTCCTGACTACTTTCTATTGAGGCCCAAGTTTGTGTCTAGCTAGCTTGTTCTCAGTTTGTTAGTTCATATATAACTTGTCAACGAAGTACTTGACACTACCAAACCAAATTTTGTAACAGAAAACTGTCTTGGTATACAGTAACTTTTTGCAACCTCAAATTTCCAACTGCTGGTAGTTAGTCTATGCTGTTCCTGCTGGAAATTATTTCCCTTTACAGAACAGCAATTGATAGGCCAACCAATATAACAACCATGGACCAGTTAGTCATGGAATTAATAATATGTGTGCTTCCTTTTTATTATCAATTTTATGTTTGGCTGTCTTAACTTGTTCACCAGAAAAAGGAAAAACAATCCCAAACTACAGGAAGCTTTTACAAGTCTGGCAATGGAGGAAAATTTATCAAAGGTATCTGACCATCAAGATCTAACTCATCAATGGCATTCGAGCCAACTTTCGAGTGAATAAGTTCAAATGTGAATGTCAATGTGGTTTAACTTAGTGGAAAAGGGTCTTGATTTGCAGATCAGTGGTCTCACTAGTTTGACCCTCTATAACACATTGATAATGTGTGTGAGAAACTCTCTTATTTTCTCGTAGTTTAGACTATTGTTTATATTAAAAAAAAATATTAGAATGTGAACATTTAATTTAAAATTAATTAGTAATAGTGGAGTATGAATTTCCAGGTAGTAAGCAAATCTGGGCTCGACTTGTTTCTGTTGGGCTTATAATTTCATCAAACAAAATATTCAGGTAAACATGTATGACCCATATCTGTCTAACTTCCTTCATGTGCCCTATAGGCTAACAGCTCCAGCTAAGTTAGATTAATGGATTTTTTTTTAAAAGTAAAGTCCCGATGGAAGTGTTTTTTTTTTGTGGTTGAAAAAATGTGATGTACATTATTGAGAAACCAAATTACAACCGACAAGAGAAAGCCGTGAGGATTACGCAAACGTCTCTAACACATGAGAGCTTGCTCATAGGACTAACAGATAGTCTACCCTCTCCTGCGCGGGTCCCTATACAAACAATGTCAGTAAAAATTAAAGACTACAATGTTCAAAATTTACATAAGAGACAAGATCAAGGTCCTTATGTGATGTGACAGTGACGATGGTGTACAATACTTATGTGATGTGATTTCTGGTAGGCCTCAAATTGGAGAACCAAACAAGACCAAGCTCCTTGGGAAATAAATCTGGGCCCCCAACCCAACAATTGCCAGCTATGCGATCCTTTCCTTACTCTACAGCTCATCTGTCCTACCTTGGATTTCTTGGTTCCAGAGTTAGACACCAGATTTGCCATGGGACCAACACTCTACAACCGTAGAGCTGAACGTGGGCCAGGACAAGCCCAAGTAGCTAGTTTTGAATGCCAATGCCAAGCCCCTTTTTTCACGCAATTGTAATATCAAGGAATAACAATAGAAACCAAAGTGAGTTTTTGCCAAAGTGAAGAAGAGGGAGGGGATTTTTTTCACACACTGCTAAGGTACCGTGGGGGTTTGAACTTAAGGCCACTGGTAAGTTAAGGCCTTTTTCTACTACGCTAGACCCCGTTGGCATAAACCAAAAGGAGTTTTATTCATGCATTGGTATGGAGTTTAGTTAAATCTCTATCATTCGAAACTCCCTTATTATAGAGAATATTACCCCGAGCGCAAACATGATCAAAGTGGTTGATTGATGTATGGCAGAATTTTCCAGTGGGTTACAGTAGAAGAGCACTATGGAATGGAGACCAAAATCCTAGCTCTACGTATATATCTGACACACTTTTCACACGGTTCATCAATTGAATTCAATGGATCTGGTGAGCCCTCTGGCTCATCCATCCAAAGCAGCACGCATGTGACTCCTCTAAAGGCACAAAGCTCCAATGGAATTGAATTTTCTATAGTAGACATCCTTTTAGTCGTCGATATGAAACAGATGATTCAAAATGTGAAGTAAATGGGGAGATTTCTGTTTCACATCTATGGAGCTGAAAATGATGGGAGATTAGCTTTTAGCTGGTAGGGTCCATATAATATATGTGTATATATACCTACAATATTCTGCACCCACTTTTCTTTTATCAACTCAGAAAGATGGAGGGTTGTGCGCTAAGCACTTAAGCATGGCCCCCAGATTGACTCAGCAGTCTCAGATTCATACAATAACTCCTCTGTCAGTCTCGTTTTTGCTTCCACACACGTCTTTAGGTTTTATTTTTTTGGTGAAAACTTTCCATGTCTTCAAATTTGAAACCATCCTTGTTAATGGGATTTTTTCTACCCTTTTGCTTTACCAAAACGAATTTTGCTAACGCAACTAATGTAACTCTCTCTCTCTCTCTCTCTCTCTCTCTCTCTCTCCCCTGTATATTCTGGATGGATAATGTTATACAGAGCTGTGTACTGTGTTTTTCGTTTGAATGATTTTCTTTAGGAACAGTGAACTTTGGAGTTTCTTTTCACAGTGAAAGGTCGCAATCATCTTCTCTTTTTTAACTGACTTTTACCACCCTTGGGCTTGTATCTTAAGATCTGCTCGATCCATTGGCATTGGGTGTACCTTCTTTGAGGAAGATTGATTCTCTCTGGATATATACGATCATATGATATGACGTATTTATGGATATTAAAGATGCCTTTATCAAAGCTGGAAGATAGCTACCTCTACAAAGAATAAGGACTCGATCACACAAGCCATGCGTAAAGTTCACGAGTGTAAGTATGATTACCATAATTGTGATGCTTTAAATATAATATCCGAATTCTCGTACAATGATTATCCCAAAGTCGATGAGATCTCCAAGTGAAATTAAAAACATGGTTTGATGGTCCCCCCCACTCCTTATCCTATATCATCATCATCACCCTTAAAAGATGAACCCAGAAAATAAAATAAAATAAATAAATAAATAAATAAATGGTCCCCCACTAATGCTTTCTTCATCTCTTTTGTAATCCCTTGTTGGTGTTTCATTAAAAGAAACAACGTAGCCTCATGCTCCCCGTGTATCGTACACTCAGTTAACTTGCACGATCATCTCTGTTATTAGAGTACTTACATTTTTTTGGGAAACCATGGTCTGTTTGGACACGTGTCGAGTACCCACTTTGCCATGTAGCCAACAAAGCTAAAGTCCGCAGTTAGAATTTCCTCCTCCTCCTCACTCTCTCTCTCTCTCTTCTTTCTTGATCTTATATGTTTGGGGAAAATTCTAAATAATTTCCCGCAAACTACAAAACCACATAAAGTTTTTGAGCTCTGAGTCTTCTGCGCATGTACGTTTAAAGAGACCATACGATGCACAAGTGAACTTTACGACCATACACGTGGCACAATCGCAGGTGTCAGAGTTTTAATCAGTGGCATGGGTCCCAGTTCTTTGGATGCTCATTTCCTCCCCAGTCTTCTTTTTAACCTTGGGCATTGATGGCAAGCCAGGAGAAGCGCATAAATCGCGATCATATTATTCAATGAAACATATTACGTGGTGTTATATTATGATTAAATCATAATCTCGTTTACCCAAAATTACATATGTAATTGTACTACGAATATAGAGTGTGTATAAATAAATATATACACGTGTTATAATATAAATATATTAATAACATCACGTATCAGTATAACTGTAAGTGTCGCACATGTTTCATATACCCTCTCTCTCTATCTCTCGTACGAACTAATTAATCATTTGAGAGATAGAGATAGAGTGATGCATGAAAGAAGGGATGTGGAAGTTACATGATATGCATATTATGCATCATTAACTGGAGTGATAAGTACATGCTACATCAAAATGATGCTTTCTCAAAATGAAAATGAAATAAAAAAGAAAAGAAAAGAAAAAGGGTTGACAAGTGACTGTCGGGCAGTACTAATATGTGGTTTTTTGTTTTCGTTTGTGGGTGCACCGACTGCTGATTAAAAAAGTTGTCCATAGTTCCCTGAATAGGAGCAGACAGCAGAGTACTTTTGCTTTTACTCAATTATCATAGTTAGTTTTTACTATTTTACTTGAAGCAAAAGTGACAGTAATTCCAAGACCCTTTTTTCACGGTCGTTTTGCAGCTGTCTGGTACCGTTTGGGGATGGCTGTTCAGAAAAGTACTTCGATCTGTCATTATTACTGCATTTTCCACGATTTCCTGTAGTAATGTCAGGACAATTTGGTTTGTTTTGGATCCGAATAATTGTTCCAAATACAAAAACTACTTTGAAACTGTATTGTTTTCACATTGGCATGCATTGCCACTTGGGATTCTTACGCAGTATCCTCAATTGTTTCGTTTACTTATACTTGAATAAGTAAACGATGATAAGAAGATTATGCAGAAACAGAAGAGTTTCTAGATAGCTTGGTACGTGTTA